ACATTTAACCACTTAATACGATAAAATACGAACAAACGTAACGTATACTTAATGTTAATTCGAAACGAAAGTGAGAAACGAATTGAAGACAAAGTTGGGAAATAAATTTACTAATTCCTCGTAATAAGTTAAGTCTTAAATCTCGTGCGGGACTTTAGAAGTGGATGTACCGGCCGCTAGATTTACTGGAGAACTTGCCAAATGATCCCTATCCCTAATGTGCCGGATACGGCAGCCGCCGGGTCCCGAGTGGATGTATGGACCATAATGTATTTCCACAAGTAACTATTCGTATGAGTTTATGAATAGTTTTTAAGTTCAATGTTGTTCTACCTTTTCAGTTCTTTGGTTCTTTTTGTCCCATATTCTTTTGTGACACGACAGTAACAATGCTCCTGATGAAAAGTGATAAAGCAATTTAATAACAATAATAAGTTTTATATTTTTGATTATTTTCAGTCCTGTTAAGTCCTGGGTAGCTCAGTGGTTAGAGCAGTCACCCGGATTGCGAAAGGTCGTGGGTTCGATTCCCATCTCAGGGTGCCAGGGACCAAGTGGATTTTTTAAGCATTTTGTATTAAGAACAATAATAACTTCCAGGATTATATGTTAGTTCTGGCGGCCTACAAAATTGCTGTCAAGGTTATAGGTAGTTGGAAATATAAATAAAAAAATACTTTACATCACACACCAAATTAAGTAGCTAAAGCATTTGTATGTATTTCGAAAACCTGTAATAAAAAAAACTACCACAATAGCTAGACCAGAGATAATAATAAAAATTCATTTTCTACTTTGATTTGATTAGGAGTATCTATATTTTCATTTACAGGATTATAGCTGTACTTATACAAAGTTCTTGAAAATTTTTCATACTATACATAAATATACATACATAAAGTCATACTATACATATAAAGTCCCAAATACAATGATATATTAATTCATTCGTGAAGTGTACATAAACGTAAACATGACATGAAAAATTTTAATCACTGTTCATGTCTCAATAATTCACGATTTCAGGATTCACGACATTTTCTGAAAATGTATGTTTATAAAATTTATATCTGTCGTAAAAAATAAGGGTCTGAAACAAATGACACGTACTTAAATTATACTTTTTATTTTTATTTATATATCTGTGTAACTCTCTTTGTGCTCTTATATACTCTTTGTAAGTAGATGTTGTATTGCATGGTTAGTATAGTTTTCTTGAATCCTCGACTTCTTTTCTCAGGTTTCCTTTACTTTTAGAGTAAAGGAAAGAGTAGTAATCAATTTTACGTTCGATTGCTATGATACCAGTCGAAATGTTTATGTGTACTAAGCCTAAAGAAGATGAACTTTTAATCCATAGGTACTAATATTATAAAGCTGAAGAGTTTGTTTGTTTGTTTGTTTGTTTGAACGCGCTAATCTCAGGAACTACTGGTTCGAATTGAAAAAATATTTTTGTATTGAATAGACCATTTATCGAGGAAGACTTTGGGCTATATAATATCACGTTGCAACTATAAAGAGCGAAGAAATAATGGAAAACGCGGACGAAGTCGCTGGCGGCCACTAGTATATAATAAAAGTGAAAATAACTATATCTCTTTCTGCGTGTGTGTGTGCCTGTTATGTGATCAAATTTAACTAATGAACAAATTTTAATAAAACTTAGTATACAGATCATGTGGAACTTGGGAAAGGACATGATACTTTTCTGGCGATGAGTCGAAACCGACGCGGTCGCGGTCATGTGGAAAGCTAGTTTTAATTATAAATAAAAAATATAATTCGCAAACGTATTTACGTTTGCTAAAGTTATAGAACTCTGTATTGAAAGAGTCTACGAAAATAACGTGTTTAAATAATACTAATTTATCCACAACGTGTTCCAGTTTTGGGTCCAGAACCTGTAACTTAGAAACAATCGCATAACTATTCCCATAGCGACCGGATGACGGAGGTTCAAAGTGGCCATATGAGCCAAGTTCGGAACTTATCGCTCAAACTTAGACGTTTTGGTAATTGTCTAGTTTTATGGTTCGTTTATGACAGGGATATCAAAACTTTCAACTAAATTATATTATGTTTTTTTTTTACAGAGTTGTTTCTAGTAAAATTCGAATTCTTTTTTAATAATTTTATTGATGTTAATCATATTCTTATGTTCCTTTTTCCATATTATAAAATCACAGATATACCTATACAATAAAGATACCTTTATATAAACTCACCTTTTAGATCAATAACCATGTTTATTGATCTGATACCTATGTGTATTGACAGGATAATAGTATTCAAATAAAATTTAATTAAAACCAACTTCATATAGCTGTAGCTTTCCGCCAGCAGCTACGCCCATGTGGTCCTGTATCAATACCATAAACCGCATTAAAATCCGATATTTAGTTTATAAGATCTCAGCGTACAGACACAAACAGGAAGAGATTTTGTATATATTAAAACCAAATAGCCGTTCTCGTATTTTTTGTAATTTTTTTGGATTATTCGCTAGTGAAAATTTTACGTCGCTGATTTTTAAAGAAATTCCAGATTTTATTTTTTAAAGCAATTCAGAAAAAAGTATTAATGTCGACACTCAAAATTTTTTAAAAGACTTCAAAATCAAAAAGAGGAAGAGGAGGTTAAATATATTTTTATATTAAAACAAAGTATGCTTTTCATCAGATATCTCCGAAATATTCGGATAACTTGTTTATATCAGCGAAAAAACAAAAGATTCCGTATTTTGTATTCTTTCTTCTTGAATTATGAACCAATTCTCATCGAACTAGCTGTTTCCCCGCGATTTCGCCTGTGTAAATTGTTGTATATATCTCCCGCATATTATGTGACTTCTCGTAGATCTAATTAACCGTAGATCGAACTATCAGTGTAATAGGTTCGGAGCCTATCCAATGCAAACATCGCTTGTTCTTCCTCTATAATATGAGTATATATTTACGATTTGGAAAAAAATATGTCGAGTAAATAAACAAAATATCCTTTCCTACGACTTACGCATGTTTACATTCCTATTTTTATATATATTATGATTAATATTTTTAGTTTTGCCTATTATTTAAAAAATATCAATATCACTAAAAAGCATGAAATAAAAGAAGATTTTCTGTAGGTTATTGATGTAGTCGCCCGACTATTTCTCATTTAAAAAAAAAAACAAATTTAAGTCGGTTATATTATAAAAAAACAAAAAATTATTGATTTTATATTTTGGTGTATTGTTTTGATACAAACTTATTATTTACGTAAATAGTGTAGTAATCCTTTATGTACTGCTTGTGGTATGAATGATACAATATAAAAGAGGGTACCGTAACATTCCTTAAGCCGGATTATTTTTTTTCTTGAACCAAAAGCGTGAGCAATAAAAACATATTTTCGTCAGAAGTTGCACGAGTAATGTTGGTTCGACGCAATATGCGAGATTTATCGAGATGTTTGTTGTTGCGAACTAGTGGATGTCACGCTGGGGGTAGGGGTGATATCATATACTAGCGCAAAATGAAAAAAAAAAAAAACGTTTTAAGAGTGCAAAAAGACATGTACAAGTTTTGTCTCAACTACACTTAGCAAATCGCTATTATAAACTCAACGAGAACAAATAAATAAAAATCCAGTTGAATTTTAAACACGGGATAGTTACCTGTACATATACAGGGTTAATTGTAAAACATCAGCAACAGAATGGTTAGTATATAATTAACATCATAAAATATAGAGTTTCTACCAGTTTCAATATTTCAAGTTTATATTTTTCTGTCGTAACATTTATGGTAAGGACAAATGCCGTAACATTTATGCTTATTCATAAACGATAGGATGGTTGGCGATGTAATAATGCAGTCTCTTATGGAAAAAAGGTTATCAATGGAAATTATTTATGGGTTTCTTTTAACTTTTTTCTTCTCTGTTGATGCTAAGGGATAAAATTTTTCCGTAAAGTTCAGTGTCACTAACTATTGACGTCAAAACACCGCTTTCGTTTAATTTACAAAAATAGAGCATATTTAAAAGTATACAAAACTAAACTACGGCAGCCCTGTATGGATTCATAGACTTTTCCGTGGGCCTGTGTCTCGTTCGTTATGACCGATAAAATATTCTCTCACCATTTTCTGTTTGTGCCACTGGTCGCCTTGTTCAGGAGGTGTAGTTGTCAACTATTTACGTCACATTTCTTTGTGATCCTAATAAGTTATGAGTCGAGTAAGTTCAAGATGTGTCTAGGTAGATAGTATATATACCACACAACACTAAAGACAAAGTAATTGGTATTCTTAATGAATAATGCTAAAAAATCCACTTACCCCAGGTATCCTGGGATGAAACTCGAACCCACGACCTTTCGTAATCTAGACGACTGCTCTAGCGACTGAGCTACTCAAGATCAAACAGGGCTGACGAATTTTTCAAGCACTTATTACTTTTTCGCTACTACAGAGCGTATTTCCATCAATGTTCAGGCAATCGACCCAAACATTATAATATGTTTGTGAATGCAAAATTTTGTCGGATATAACAAAGTAATCAGTTTTGATTTACTAAAAGTTTTTTGACCATAAAAGTTCCACTTGTGGTCGAATGGAGCTTGAAGTGTCAGATATGAATAATTTTTCACATTTCTGAGTTTAATCCGGCTTTGTATGTTATTATATTATGCATATTTTTCTGCCACAGCTAATTTAAATATAGTTACATTTTATCGTTTTTTCAACTGAAATAATAATAAAAAAAATTTTTAATGCAAGATTAATCAAAATATAATTAATTTTAACCAGCTTCAAGAAATAGAATTTATTTTATTTAACGCAGTATTATCTGGTTAATGACCCATGTAAATAAAAATACAAAAATCTAGTTAAAACTAAAGGATCGTGTTTCTAAACGTCTTAGTATGTTAATTTATTCAAATAGCACTGAATGGAGTCTGTTTCAAATGTAGAAACCTTACAGACAAGTGTATAAGTAATCAAGTTGTAAAAATGCAAGCGAAAGTTTTGAATCCCAAGCGTCCCGAGCGAGCGTCGCGAAGCGAGCGCTCAGCAACTTTGTGGGATTGCAGGTCTCGGGATGATGTAAATAACTAAATAAGTACTTCAGACGATACGATAAACGATGCTCATTTTGAATGTTGTTTTTTATATTTGTTTACGAAACAGAAATGCGAGAGACGTTTTAATAAATAAACCTCTTCGTATTGCGTTTTAGATATACATGTATTATATATATATACTTAGCAGGGTTCATAATTATCAAATTAATTATATTTTTGGATAATTATCATGATAATTATCAGATAATTATCCGATAAGTATCTAATAATTATCCGTAGTTACTGGCAATATTTTTTTAAATATATAAATGACTAAACTTTCTTTTTTGTTTTAAATAATAAAAAAGATTCCCTTCTAATAACAAGTTTGTGTAGTGTTTTGTAATTATCAAGGTATATTTATCAAGATAATTATCGCGATATTTATCAATAATAATTATCATTCCTAACCCTTATACTTATTATTAATCAAAGCCGCCTCCCGCTGTCTGTATGTTAAGTTCTTTTAAACTACACAACCGATTTTAATTCTGTTTTCTTCAAAATACAAAGTGATTCAAGAGAAAGTTTTTATGTATAATGCAGGATTGCGAAGGCGAAGCCGCGGGCGGAGAGTATGGTTGTATTTTTAGAAATGCGATTATCTGCTAAACCAACGTATGCAAAGGACGTGTTATTTGAGTTTTATTTTTAAATTATTGATGAAAACGTTGTTTATTTTCTACTATATAGTAGTGATAGAAGATGTTTTAGCAGACGACAGCCGACCTCAAGTGCACTATTAAACATAGTAGAGCATATTCACTTTATCTGGGATATCTGCTTTATACAGGTTTCCTCTTTATTATGGGTACCACTATTGAATTTATTTAATTTAGATTGAAGTGGTCCCCAAACTTTCTTTATCACATAGACCACTTACAAAATTACGGTTTGGCTGCTACGTTTCTATCAAATTCTCAGAACTCGTCAACAATCTGAAGATTAGATCGAAATAAGGTCTTCTTATAGCTTACCATGGTCTCCAGAACGTGGGTTACTTTTATAAACTCGGTTTTATAAGCATTTTATTGGAACCCAGTGTCGATTTAAAATAATTATTGCGTACCTATAAATTCCTTACTGCAATTTATTGAGTTTCATTTTGTCATCATAGTAATTTACCTATGGTCAATCTATATTTATTTATCGAGTTGAAAAATGCGTCGTATTATCAATGAAAAGCTTATTGAAAGAGCTTGAGTTGATTGAAATTGTTTAGGAAGGCTTTGCACCGTAGTAACCAGATCAAGGGCTTTGTAAATTATAATCAAAAATTTACAAAGCCCTTCCTCTGGTTACTACGGTACAGTGTCACATTTAAGTCTCCGTCTCGGAGGTCTGGTATCGTCAGTAATCAATCATCGCATTCCGCCTTTTTGGCACGAGTTTATAACAGACCAAGTAATTTTCTGTTTCCTCTGAACAGTGGTTTGGTAAAGTTACATTAAAAACGCTCGTTTTATAACCTCAGTTATGAGGAGTATGAGAAAGTGGCTCGGAGACGCAGTGAATAAGCGCCGCGGCCCGCGATCGCTGTTGTTAAGCAGATTTTGCAAGGGTCGGTCACGGGATGGGTTTGATGTGTTTTGTTTAGTCCTATTAATGTTCCCACTGCTAGGGCTCAAGCCTTACTATGGATGGAATCGAATGGAATAGGGAGAATGGGACATAACACAAGCGGGCGCATTGCAAATTGGTGGGTATTAAAAACTGCAGAAACAGCCGAAACTAACGGCTTAAGCCTTCCGAAGCCGGAGGAGTTAGAGAAATTAAATTTTTGGTTATCCAACCTATGGCTGGCCATTGCGAAAATTGCTTAACTATGTATCGCAGATCGATCGCGCTACCCACTGCACCATCGAGTTCCACCTCCGTTCAGATAGTCCATAATACGGGGGCATTAACTGCTCACCTTGGAATCCGAGCAATGTAATTCTAGTCGAATATTTTTTGTAGGTGTGGTTTGGACGCTGGAGAGTGACCTTGAGTAATTTTAATTGTAAAAAACATATCATTGTCTTTTATTGTTAAAGCAGCGGGTTTTTTTAAATATTGAAAATGTTTATTACGTCATATGCATTAAATAATATTTTTAAAGAACTGGTGTTGATACGTCTATTCACATCACAAATATATTCTTGTAAGCGTAAGTTACAATAGCAGCCACTGCATGTTAAGTGCCGACCCCTGTCACTTAAGCCCATTCTATCCGACACAACTATCTCAATAAAAAAAAGTTGCTCGCTCATATTTTATGTAAACAAATGATGGTATCCAGCACCTTCGCTAAGACATAGCGATTGTAAATAAAATAACAAGTACATAGCTGCTTAAATACGATCTGGATTCTGCACGATATATTCTTAACGGGCGATGTATAACTGAACATTTAAGTGTGTCAATTGAAACAGAATTCGAGTAGAAGTGTACCCGGGAAAATGTTTACAGCCTCTGGCAAGATTTATGCCGATACTTCGGTGTAAGTTCGCATTTTCCGAGTTTGCGCGACCGATAAACTACAATAGTTATCATTGATATTGTTTTCGTATTAACAAAGCGTGACAAATTGCTTTAGGCAAGGTACAAACTCTTGTCCGCGACTTCATCTGCGTTTAATGAGTATTTTCAGCAGTCTATTTCTTCTCCGAGCTTTCATCAATCTTGATTTTTTTTAATCAGTAGTATTAACGTGAAAAGAAAACATCTAAAAGTAGTATCTTTATATAGTATTTATTGAGTTACTTATTTATAATAACAGAAAACCACCCCCGACTTCAAGAAGTTGCCTGAATTATTTTTCACATATATTAAGCTTCAATAACAACGATTTTTAAATATTCTTACTAAATTATTGTCTCTGATTATTATTATTGTTTCTTTACAATGTTTGGCATATAAACAAGTGGCTTTCAAAAATCTGCATTTTTTTTTTTGTTTTAGGGCGTTGTGAAGCCATTTAAGCGTGTGGTGCGAGCTAACATCGGCGACTGCCACGCCCTCGGCCAGCCACCCATCACATTCATCAGACAGGTCAGTAACAAATAAACATAAATTTTAGATTTGAACATATAAAGAAATTATTAGGTAAGACTATTCAAATGAAAATATGAAAAAAAGATGTCTTAACATTGAAAGAAGAGTAATAAAAAATGGTTCTAATAAATACAAGCTTGAATTGGAACAGTAAAACTATAATATTACCTCAGTAAATATTGTCAATTTCTCTTCCTATCTCTGCAAAGTCGACAACCATGTAAACTACGTATAATTTATATTGAATTATGTTCCTATTTTTTTTCACATTTATGTTTTGACGGGGAACTTTGTAGATTTTGATGTATTAATACTACTTTAAGAGAGTAGCTTTATACCAGCGGTTTCGTCCGCGTGCGTCTGTATTATACATTTATCAACCAACAACCTGTATTTTTATGAGCATTTAATAAGTTGTGTAGTTTGAAGATCTCAGCGTACAGTCAGCGGAAAGCGCTTTTGAGACAGATTACACTGCATATTCTCTATGATCAGGTCCTGGCACTGGCGGCATGTCCTCAGCTGTCTACATCGCCGGAAATACCGTCCGATGTGAAAGACAGGGTACGAGAGATACTCGGCGATTGCATGTGAGTTGTTTTTTCTAATATTACTACTAGCTATTATTACTACCTACTGTAAATAACAGCAGTTGCAGCTGAGACCACTAGCTTAACAAGAATTCAGTATATTTATTTTAGTCAAATATGTAATGACTGGGTGGGGTGGGACTGATGACCTTTTCAAACACTGGCACCTTAATTTTTGCTATCAATTTCATCATATTATTCGTCTAAAAAAAGTTAATATTGTAGCCGCGGCTCAGTGGGTTCGTATTCTCCGGCGCTGGGTCTGCGCGTAGTGCGCGAGCGCGTGGCGGCGTATATGCGCGCGAGGGACGGCGCCGGCGTGCCCGCCTCACCTGATGACGTGTGCCTCGGCGCCGGCGCATCTGACGTCATCAAATCTGTGCTCACCTTGTTCGCAGGACAAATAGACGGGAAGCCTTCTGGTAAGCATCGATTAGAGTCGAATCGAATATCTTACAATATAAATATCTAATCTTTAAATTATTAATAAAATGTTAATTATGACTAACCTAAATCTATTTATATTATATCTACTAGAATACCTTTAGCATAAAGAATATGCGATATCACAACACACTATACGGTGCCTCGCACAGCTCACAAGGGAAGCATTTTTCAAAATTGGAACAAATGGAATCGGGACGTCTGTCCCCGTGGGATAGTTGCACTTTCCTATTTTTCACGAGACAGTTTCCTGTATTATAGCATCTGACTTGCCCGTGACTCACATTATTAAATTTAATTTTGACTAGAAATTCACTGTCCTTATATTTTTCATATTAACTTAAGCTTATGTTCTATACTTTAAATCATCTGAAATCACAAATATTTTACCTTTTTCTTGAGATGTGAACGTTACAAATTGATTAATTAATCTTTAGTTAGAAATTATTATTTTTTACACAACAGCACGTTATCTCAATATGTCAATTATCGTTATTGATTTTCAACTCTATGATTAATGCATTTAGGAGTAAAATAAAGTGTTGTTGATTGTACTTGTAAGGTCAACATTTAATGACATTACATTTTAATGAGCATAATGATTTATGTGTTTAGCGGTGATGATACCGATTCCCCAGTATCCGCTTTTCTCTGGCACCTTGGCCGAGCTGGGCATCCAGATGGCAGAGTATTACTTGGACGAGGAGCACGAGTGGGCTCTATCACGTGAGGAACTAGAGCGTAGCTGGCGTCAGGCCTCTGATACCTGTGCAGTACGCGCTTTGGTCGTGATCAACCCGGGGAATCCTACAGGCCAAGTGAGAATTGATGGAGTCTTTATGTCTATTGTGTACTCGTAATAAAACTTCTTTCCACTTTAGCTACTCATGAAGATGTTTCTTAATAATTTAAGCAAAATGACAAACCAAGTTTGAATAACTTGAGATCGTGAAATAATATAAGTATACTGTGTTCACTTGATAATTAGATTACACGTACATCCTCGTGAGAGGGTTGTAACAAGGAAACTTTTGTCACGTCACACTAATCCTTAACAGAGTTGCAGGTACTCGTGCCACCAGAGTTACCTAACAACAACTAAGACAGATTCAACTCCGCGGAATGACGTGAGCGAATTACTTGGTTAAACAAAAGCTCAGCGTGATATCTCTTTTGTCCATCGGATATTTCGTATATTCGAAAAAATATTCCCATGTGTGTTGATAGCTGATACAGGCCGGAAAAAGTATAAGTAAAACATGAAAAGTGGAAATTAGCCGGTCACGCGACCGGCTCGTTTCCAAGTAATTGCTTTGGGCTTGCTCGCAAAACACAGGCGTTCCGGTTATGACTTGGAATGAAGGAGGTTTAATCCCAACCTTATATTTTGAGGTTGGAATTATGAAGTGTAAAATCGTTGATGATTTCATTCTAGTTATGCCTAACGGGCTATAGAATAAATATCATTTAAATAAAAATATCTCAGTTAATACTATGACCACATATGTGAAGGAACAATGTTTATAAAATTCAGTAAATTACAAAATAGAGTTTTGAATTTTATTTTTAAACTACTATATTACTTTTTTCTTCATAAGCCAAATGGGATTAATATAATTTTTTCTTTATTATTATAATTATAGCATCTGAAGCAAAGTGGATATATTTAGATGAAGATAATTAATACGAGAATTATTTGCCAACACAGGGAGCAAGCCACAAGATGAAACTCTGTAATCAGGGTGGCCCCTAATCATAAGAATGACGCTTTGTTGTAAATTTTTAGGTACAATTTCTTGAGTCAACTTTGAGTTATTGCAGCTTCCTTAATGAGAGCAAATTTAATCAACATTTTACGGGGCCTTTATTGTTTCTCACTACGTTCAATCTTGTCGGATCCTTTTCACTGAACTTAAATTACATTATTATAGTGAATATTTTACCGGAAATATCCTTTGTTTATTGTCATGGAATTTTTGGGTCTCTATAGAAATGTGTGAACTTCTTAAGTAAACAAAATTTCGGCCGTGGTCGTTTTAAAATTCCACGACATTTTAATTAGTGAAATCATTATTTTGTGAAGGCAATTTGGTTTAAATACATTACAATTACAATTTAACTTCCTTTTCAGTTCTCGATTTTAGGGTCGTTTGAGACACTGTCGATATTAATATTGTACGTTGCTTTGGTTTCAACATATAGGAGAATACTGAGAACGAAAGAGGACTATCCATGACCAGACACAATCGGAATGTCAATGAGATGGTGTCAGGAACGAACATATATCACGCATGATATATTGAGAGGGACACTTGATATGGCAATTACTATAGCTTTGATAAAGTACATGTCATGAGGAGCTTGATGGCGTAGTGGTTAGCGTATTTAGTTTGCGATACTGAAAATAAGCTTTCGTAATGAGAGCTGAGAAGTTTCTTTTGATTGTTCTTCTTGTCAGCCAAAATATGGTCTGTACGAACGATTCAAAAGCGCTTGTAATAAACTAATTCAATACTGTTTTATCCGAATGACTTACTGCATTGTCTCGGCTATTGGTCTCAAGAAATTGGATCATTAGGGCCGGTCATATGGTGGGTGATCTAAATTTATCTCGAGCTCCTTCGTGCATCTGCAGGCGTGTTAAGCGTTCTAAGCTGCATCTGCAGTCTTTAACACCCGGCAATCCGCAGTGCCACACAGAACCATGGTCCATTCTCCACATTTAATTCCCGTCGATTCCATTGATAACGCCTGTGTTCCAGCGGTGGGGACATAAATATGCTGATTACATGTTTTATTTTAATAATTTTAATAAAGGATGATCACAGCTTTGTAGAAAATCTACAAAAGCATGAATTTATTGATTACGTTAAAAAAATAATTAAAAAAATGTGGTTAATATTATTCTATAATATACCTGACGGACAAAACAAAAAAGTGACTACCTCATCGCGATTTCCAACAATTAATTCCTAATCGCGAGAAACCCAACATAAAAATCAAATGAATTAAAATTTTCCATCTTGTAACGCGAATAGAAATTAATAGGTTTAACGGAGGCTCGGGACGTTATTAAAATGTTTAATGCGATTAGATTTTGAAACTTGAATACAGTCGTAGAAATTTTTTTATAAGATATAAAATATGCAAATTATGGCTTTTATCAGCTATCGTAAATTACCGCTTATTTGAAATAATAGTACACCGATTTTAATTTAATGTGCGTGTGGCAGAACAATTATAACACAGGATTGATTTTTAGTATGGAAATAGAACAATAATGAAAACAATTGCTAGGTAGCTATTATTTTATATGTGTGACTGCTTTCTTTCATTATTTTTCAGTATTTAATATAAATGTGACAGAATATAAATTATATTATATATTTTTTATCATTAGTAAGCACTTCACGTGACAATTTTTTGACAAAATTTAGTGTTTTATTATCTACATAAAACGGATTAGATTTTCTGAAACAAAATCACCTTTTGAGATAACAAAGAATAACTATATCATGAAATAAATAATTTTAAATTTTTAGCGGGTGGTTTTAGTAAATTGATGTCGAGTTTTAGTTATAACCGTTGAGCCAACTCCAAACAGGAGTGTGAAACAACAAAACAGCTCCTACAGACATCTGGGATACTATAGATTTTTAAGTCGCAATAAAGTTCTATAGAACTGCATAGTTCCTTAAAATAACAAATACTGATAAATAATATACCAATCATTTATCCAAAACGGGTTCTTTCGATTGAATTTTGTATCGATCATAGAACGTGTCTTGTGGTATCAAAATATCTATTGTATCTGTAAGCACGCAAGTGTATTAATAAATAAATCGAACGTGTATGTTTCTATTAAAGGTCTTGAGCCGCGAGAATATCGAGGAGATCATAAAGTTTGCATACGAGCGTAGACTGTTCCTGCTCGCTGACGAGGTCTACCAGGAGAATATTGTCTGCAAACCCTTCTACTCATTCAAAAAAGTAAGTAAATATAGGATAACTAGAATTATGGTTTATTATATAATGTTGATTGCAAACTGAATTTACCAAACGGTCGTCAAATTGTTTTCAAGATTATTCAAACTAAGCATATTTGTTAATGGTAAATAAACTTCGCTGATCCGTTAAACATTTCACTTTAATAACAAGTGTTACAGTTTGTGATTGGCTGATCAAAATGCACTCAACGTTCATTGCAGTAAACGGTGAGTGAATTTTGATTGAATCCGAAATCAATCAAATCGAAGCCAATAGAATAACGAAGTAGACTTACAGGCTTTGAGTCTCATCTGTATGTGATCACTTCTGCTGCTTGACCTAAGTGCATATAACAGTTAAATTGAGTAATATGCGAGTAGGTTATAATATTCAATTACCTATGACATGCAACACAAAGTTAATATTCGGTGTATATAAAATATCATGTTAATCCTATTCTAGGTTATGCATGAAATGGGAATGCCGTACAGTGGTATGGAGCTAGCAAGTTTTCTGACGTGCTCGAAGGGATGGGCTGCAGAGTGCGGACTACGCTCAGGATACGTCGAGCTACTGCGGCTTCAGCCCGCTGTGCGCAAGGCCTTCGACGCCGCCAGAGGTGTCATGCAGTGCCCTACTGTATTAGGACAATGTGTGCTAGACTGCGTCGTAAGTATTGCTGGCAGCCAACAATATAATTTCTGTTTACGCCAATATGACCAAAAAATTTTATCTCGAGCTACTTCATGCTTCGGAAGGCACATAAGTCGTTGATCCCGGCTGCATTTGCAGGCGTTAATACCCTCCAATCCGCATTGAGCCAGCGTGGAGGGCCATGACCCATCCATAAGGAAAGCCTGAGCTCCTGCAGTGGGGACTTAAAAAGGTTGATGATGATTAGGCCAAAAAAATGTATATATCATTATGTTTTTAGATGAAGCCTCCGGCGCCGGGGGAACCATCTTACTCACGGTTCACGGCAGAGCTTGCTGAAGTGAAACGTGTACTACGCGAGCGAACCACCGATGCGTACCGCACCTTTAACCAGATACCTGGCTATTCCTGCAACCCAATTGATGTAAGTCCATACTTAAGTATTTTTAATTGAAAGTCGGTCTTCTTTCCTACGACTAAAATATTGTCTAATCGATAATTTGTGAATGGTTTATTTCGATTGAAATCTACTTTAATCAATTATCTTAGTCACCATCTAGGTAGTCTGTTTTTTAATAAATTTTGCATGTTTTGTTACTTAACGTTGGTAATTAAATGCAGGGTGCGATGTTCGCATTTCCTCGCGTGGAGCTGCCGGCTCGGGCTCAGCAAGAAGCGCACGACCTCAACATGAAACCTGACGAGTTCTACTGTCTCAGACTACTTGAACAAACCGGTCAGTGCGCCAATGTTTAAATGGTTTCTGCCAGAATATAGATTACTTATTGATGTGCTTTCGTAAAGCGTTTTGAAGTTAGTTAAAATGTTTGAGAAAAGTACCTGGTCCAAGCAAGACATTTTGTTTTTCAAGTTTTGTTAAGAAAAAGGTTAGCGAATAAAAGTTACAGTCTTTTCTGCTTATGCTGCCAGAGTCCGACTGTAAGAGTTCATGAGACATGAAAAGGCATGAAGTAGATAGACTTTAAAAATTAAGATAATATGAATAATATTGATGTGATGTGCAGGTGTATGTGTGGTGGCGGGTGGTGGGTTCGGTCAGCGTCCGGGCACCTTCCACTTCCGTACCACCATCCTGCATCCGCGGGAGGAATTTACTCACATGCTGCAATCTATCGCTCAGTTCCACCGCACCTTCCTCCAACAGTACGCCGATTGATGCCCACGCGCATACTTTTAGCTTAAAGTGAGTGACGGTGTTGATATCTCTCTCGATCTTCTCGAACAGTGAACGTCATAAGTCCGGTCGCCAAACAGAGAGAATTTTGGTCAATGACCCGGCATTACATATCTCTTTCATTCTCGCGTAAACATGTTGCTATTGCGTTATACCTTAAACGTTTACGATATTTATCAGTAACCATAAAGAAATAAGTACGAAATTTTCTCTGTTTAGCGAATGGACTATATGATTATATTACAATCTTCAAAGAAACTGTATTACATCATGTCATTTAAATGACGATGCTACCATATCTGAAGATCTAAGAGAGATCCGAGAGATAATCTAGATTTATGATGTACTGTGATGTTTGTTAAATTAGATCATTGGTTTCCAACCGGTGATCCAGCCATGCCAAGTGGTTCGCAAAGCCTCATAAAATGATTATAAAAATAATATATTTAATAATTATATTATTTACTTATAGCTACATAAAACGTATAATAATATTTTATTTATCTAGACTTAGATATAGCATAATTTATACCCCGCCGACGGTGGTCCGCAGTGTCATGGGAAGTTCTAAAATAGTTTAAAGCCCAAAAAGATATTTTCAATTGATGTCTCAACAGCTTTCTACTTGACGATCATTGTTGAGTCTTTATCGTGAGTTATTATAATTTAATGTAATAATTTTAGTTGTATTATTTAAATTTTTAAAAGCTACCGATATTCGACTTAAATGTATTCATTAATATATTTGATGAATTTTGCATTCACAATGCTATACTGAAAAATGAGTGCCAGAGACAAAATGGATTTTTTAAGCATTTTTTATGAAGAATAGTATTCAATTAGTTAACAAAAATGTCATTCGCAATGGACGGTTAGAAAAAACTTTACGTTATATATTTATGAAAGGATAGAGAATACCTTATTCTATTTGTAGCGGTGGTTTACCGGTTATTATTAAGTTACAGCATACGAGAGGTTCGTTACGTCGCAGTCTCTAATTTAATATTATTACTTCACAGAAAACGTTCACACGTTCCTAGTTATTAATTAGAAGGAACGCCTTAGTGAAGTTGTTATTATTATCTTTAGTTTAATTATTATAAATTCTTTTATAGTTTCATCAATTAAACCATTGAACGTTTCACCTGTAATATAAATTAGGATCTTAAAATAATTCTAATAAGACAAGAACTAAATCTTTCCTACTCCAACCCCAGCGTATTAATTTAAAAACAAGTAGTGACTAAAGACATTATTCGAGTGTGATAAATTCTCTCACTTTTTTATTGTTAATATTATATTATTGAATACATTCATATTCCTATCCCATGCCAATTCATTAAGGTCTGTCTATCGCTTAACATATGGAAATCACGACCTTTTGAAAAGCTACGTATAAAAACAGTAGAAAAATATACATTCGAATTTAAATACAAATATGTATTATATAATTAAATGACAACTTAGGATAATTATGAAAGGCTTTTTAAGTTCATACTTAAAGATATCAATCTCTAATAATAATTTAATTAAAAGAAAATACGAGGTACACCTTTGTTTCAAGTTTGTTAATGATTTTATTTTTGATTGTAGTTAAGTTTTACATTTCTTAATAAATTCATAAAAATTAACTAGTATTTCCAGTTGTCCCGAGTAAAATCTATTGGTGGAGTTTTATTAACATTAGTGTTTGAAACCTCTTTGGTTCATACCGTTTGATAAATAAGCTTATCCCAACAATACATTGTCATCTTCAAAATGACATCTCTTATTGCGGAGTCTGAATGAGCAAATCATCTAATAAGTCGGGATGCAGGATCATAATAGTCACTACATTAATAGGGATGATGACAATTTTTTGGTTGTTATAATAAATAAATATTTTTTAAATTTATTGAGTAATCAAATTACGGCGATACGTTGAGTTGATTTTCATTGACGTCACCTTTTGTAGATTTTCTACGAAGCTGTGCGCAGTGAACCCAAATTCTTCTTTAATTGAAACAAAAAAAAATCTAATATTTTTCTATTATTTGACTGGCGGACTAATTACGATTTCTTTTTTTTACCCAGTGATCATCCCTGAACCACTGCACATTTGTTATTTGTAATATTTATTCCACCATATTCATACGATAGAGAAAAAAAACACTACTTGATATAAAAAAAAAACTTTCATAAAGAACCAAAGAGGTTTTAAACACTACATGTTAACAAAACTCTGCGATAGATATAATCAGGATATTCAATACTTATTAGTGTTATTGTTTATTATTATATTGTATTGTATTGAATGATATCCCAAACACAAATCTAAGTGGGCTGATTGAAAGCATGCCATGTGTCGCTAATATTGTAACAACGGTTTGTTAATTAGTCCGTTTACCCGGTTCGAGGCATCCCGACTAATTAGATGATTTGCTCGCTCAGACTCCGCAATAAGAGATGACGTTCCGAAAATATCAATATACTGTTGGGAATTAAATGGTATTAGTGTAAAGATAATTTTGTTAAAATGTAACATTTTAAGTTAAATATTGTCGCATTTATTATTTACGCAAGTTGAAAAATAGCGATGATTTATTCTTTTTCCTTGATAGTTTTAGTAAATGAATTGTAGTAGTAAGGTTTTAACTTAGATTAATTTAAATGTTTTAGAGTTTATGGCATTTAAATATTATTTATATCTTAAATGCACAATTAAAAATATTATATCACAGATATATGTTTTGTATTTTATTAAAGTGTATTAAAACAAATATCTAAAGAAATAAAATAAATGTTATTTATTATTTTATTTGATTTTGATTTTTCACACATATGACAATTTTGCCTAGTTTCGTTAACAGCCGTGTCAGGTTATACAAATCTGTCAAATTTCTCCATTTGACTTTAGATCTTAATATTTTGAAGATAAAGTTTAGAATCAGCTGCGGAAATTTAACATATAATGGTGCCCTGAAGTGCAGCATACGAGAGTAATATATTTTTATTAAAAAAAAGATGTATGAATAATACGTTCTATACTTGAAAATTATCTGGAAACATTATACATTATTCAATTGAAAATATATAATAAAATATCTACTATACAAAATTACATGTGATCAGAGTTTTGTTTCCAAAATATTTAATATCATTCAGTAATACTGGGCAAGATTATTGTAGTATTGTAGTGGTAAGCTTATCTCACTATCTAGAGATAATCCAAATACATTAACGACACTACTCATAAAAAAACTAAAGCTTAAAGTAAGTTATTCCAAAGAGGCATTAGGCGTCGTTCTAATTGACAACAAAAGATCAAACGAAAATCAGAAGCCCACTTGTCTAATTTAAAAATCTAGCACAATCGCTTTCAATGTTACATTCAAAAGATATTCTCGAGCTTCAGGCTTATTGTGGTCGCGACGTTTAAAATATATTGAATGAACGGTAACGTTTATTTGACGTTATCGGAATTGTCTAGAAAAAAGTGGTAGTAGTAAATATCTCTGAAAGCTATTGGTAAATGTCAAATGAAATGTCATAGACAATTTGTCTATGACATTTATATCATTCAAATGATCATTCGTTCCAAAGGCAATTGTGACTTTCAAAAATAACACAATTATTTAGATTGCTATCACAACCACTAAACGTTTGAAAAGGATTGTACTTACTTTTTTTAGTAAAGTATAAAATTAGACAATTAGGCCATAAGTTAGTGTAAAAATTGAAGACCACAAAACATTACGAAGGCACTAGAAATCGCACTGTGAGTTCAAAGGTGCGATTATCTAGTGAATCACTAATATTTATTGTGTGACATAATTGGTCAATCAATTAAACGCCTTAAGATAACAGCTCGTCTGACGAGCGGCATACCTACATAGTAAGTTAATTTAATAAGATACATATTAAGCCATGGCTGTCATTTTCATCGGAAAGCGGAAACACATCGTTTACACGTGTGTTTAATTGCCAATTAGGAGGGACCCTTAGTGTGCGATGGACCATACCATCCTTCCTTAGTATGTTTCTTGTCAGAGAAGATCGCCGTAGCAGATTTGGAAATAGTCGCAGAGCATGACCAACTGGTCACCTCGCGCGCGTAATATCTCGTCTCTTAAGAACTGCTCGAGTTTATGTTTGATGTTATGGTCGTGGCTCCGGTTTTGAACCTAAACAGTTGAAAAAATTTTTTTGATTTACTAGACTGTAAAAACTGCTTAAAAATGTATTCATTATTTATATAAGAAAAATAAAAGATTAGTTGTCATCATCATCACCAGCCTATTAATATTACCACTGCTGGAGCTCAGGCCTTCCCTATGGATGGAATAAATGGAATAGAGAGAATGGGCCATGATCAGCACGAGAACCCAGTACAGATTGATGGGTATTTACGAATACAGACACAGCCGAAACCAACGATTTTTTGGCCACCCATCCTATGATCGGTCATTTCGAAAGTTACTTAACAACCGTATCTAACCTAACCACTGTGCTATCGAACATTTTAGTAATTTATAAATGATATTTGTTCAGTTTTGCATTCAAATACTATAATGGAGAAAAATCCTAAAAAAAATCACCAGTCTCATTGTTGCAGTTCATCAGTCCCAGTGCCCGAGATGGAATATCGTTATTTTAATATTACTGTATTGTAATTGGACATTGTAGTTATCTATTAATATTATTTTCCGCAGTTGTTCAGCCTGTTGAAATATATGAGATATTGAAATACCCTGAGATATTCCTCGATGCATTGCCGGGAGGCTCTACGCAGACTATCAGTTGAGAAATCAAGCAGTTTGCTCCAGATTTCTTTTAGCTGTTCCTGATGATTGCACGGGTTGCCTGATGGCAGTGTTCTGACCAGACTATGATTGTAGTAATGCCTAGACAAAGATAGCTATCTAACACACGTATGAGATCGTTTTAGTCGAGAGAAGTAATTACTTGAGAGAATGTCAAAGCTTAAGCAAATATTTTTAACCGATAGACGAAAATTTGAAGTGAGAACTCTCAAAAGTTAGAATATTATTATCAGTTCTTGACATTTTCTGAAGCAATTACTTCTTTCGATTATATACCAGTGTTAGTGACTGTAATTCATTAATAAATTAAAGTCATGTCAATTCTAAATAAATATGTTAATATTAAAGGTTGAATAGAATTAAAGTACAATATCTTGTTTTACATTTTACACTTCTTAAACTTAACAGACTAAGATAGTCCTTGATTAAGATTGCAATTCTCTAATTATAATTAAATATTACGTTTACATTTTTAATTTCGATTTACTTATTGTATTTCGTATAGTGGAATCAGATAAACCTATTTTTGAATAAAGTGCACTCACATTTTCAACCAAAAATAGAATTTTATAATTAGTAACCTGTATTCATTGGACATGTTGGCGAAGATTTCCTCAAAGTAGCTCTCGCTCTTGTTCCTGATAACCTTGTATCTCTTACTGTTGTTCTCTCTTGAGCGAGTGTCGTAACGTGCCAGCTTATGGGCTCTCAAAAATATCTGTCGGCAAAAGATTTGCACTATATTTCTATTAATATCTTTACGTCGTATCTCATGCGGGGTAGGCAGAGAGGGTCAAGTGGCACTAGGCATGGTCAATACATATCTTTCGCCCCCTCCACTTTCATAATGCTCTTCATATATGCTCGTCTGTGTATATGGCTTCTGACATCAAGAATAATATCTTTTGCCATATTAGATTACGATTGAATAAGTAAATAAATTTTATCATCTTAATTGAAACAACATTATTATATCTACCATTGACGGAGTGTCCATGTAAGTTTCTAAGGAGGCGTAAGGAAATACCACAGAACAGGTTTTTCATTCATTATTTTTGAATACGGTTAATTTCTTTGTTTTGCTATGTTACTTTTAGGTTCCAAAATCTAACTATTTCTAATATAAATAAAATCTTTTATACAGGAATTCATTTTCTTGTCATAAAATAATTATTGAAAACGAGTTGGATATAAATATTGATACTTTACTCCTCTTGGCTGGCTGAAAACTTATCTACTAATAAGATGACATTTTACAACATTTCGAGTGTGGTTTTGGGGTTTGATTAGGCAAATTACCTTTGTGAGTTCATTCATCATGTTACTGAGTATAGTTTCCATCTGTTTCTGATCCGGGTACTGATAAATACACTCCAGCACTGGCGGAGCAGTCATATTGCTTATCCGTTTGCGTTTTGTCACTGGCTCACTTTCCTCTCTCTCCTCTGGGCTTTCTCGTGCCCTCATACCGCCTTCCTTCATTACATTTATATCAATACTTAGTATACCTTCCATTTTAATTTCGAAACCATCACTTGCTTTCACCAACACAAGAAAAAAGAACACATATTTGTGAGATTTCAGAGTCATTTTAATACAACAGCGGTGTTATAATAAAAAACAGCGCATTAAACGAGTTCTGATAACAGACGTGTATAGGAAAGTAAACTTTTATAGCTGAACGTAGGATTGCTGTTGATATTGTTCCTTTAATGTTGAGATTTGTTCTCCGAGGAAAAGGCGACCGTAATATTTCATAGGACAGATTCGGCGGATTACTTTTATGAATTTCGGGAATATCCAGTTATGGAAGCTATTTATTTACATTATTTAATCACAAAAGTGAAATTGAATTTCTTTATTCTAAAAGAGCTTAAAAATTTTTTTTTCGTATTTAATTTTCTATATTATTTAATCAGGGGCCTTATTGTCTAATTTTTAAATCTATCACAATCACTTTTGAAAGATATCGCTAAGTTGACGTTAATTCGAATTGTCTAAGGCAAGGGTTAGACGCAAATATTACTTTAAGTTACAAATTTTTTATTATGTTACTTGATTATGCAAACCATTATTCGTTCAGAAAGCGATTGAGTCTTCAAACTTTTCATAATTCCATTAAACATACAGTAGCTATATAACTAGAGCTAGAGTAGTAACTAAATATAGTATAAATGTAAAAACATACAGTAGCTATAGAGGTAGAGTAGTAACTAAATAAAGTATAAATGTAAACAGTTTATATAAGACAAACAAGGAACAATCAGAGTAAACTAAGACTACCGTTAGCAAAAGAATCTAATCAAACCATTCTCCACTCAAGCGATGTCTGAAATTAGTTAGTTTAATATTAAAAATGTCTAACGTGGAATTCAACCATTTTACCTGAGCGTACAAAAAATGATTGTTTCCTATACTTTGTGTTGCGAAGCGGTACACTGAGACTGTTTTGGTGTCTCGTACCATTTGTTGGAAATTGAAAACTTTTTATAGAGAGGAGTAATGGAAAATCTATAAGAGATTGTACTATTTGAACTAACGTGACTATATAGGTGATTTTCCGTCTCTCGACGAGAGGTAAAATATGATGTTTCGTACCCGTTTTATAACCTCTGTAAAGCTTCTGTAACCTACCAATATACAATCCATATTATTATCTATCTAATATTATAAAGAGGAAAGATTTGATTGTTTGTTTGCATTGAATTGACTACGAAACTACTGGAACCTGTAAAAAGCAGCGTCTACAACTAAATACAAACGCGATGAAAACGTTTAAAAATTGTTTCATTCATGTATATATACATATACCATAATAACATTTTTTACATTTTTGTCTGCCTGTTGTCTGCTTATTCCGGCTAATTTCTGAAATGGCTGGACCAATTTTGAACGGCACTTTTACTGGCAGATAGCTTATGTAATAAGGAGTAACTAAGGCTGCTTTCCACGTGGAAGAAAGTCGCGGACACGGTTATAATATAATACTTTAAAGCTAGCTAGTTGAAGAGCAACGTTTCATGTAAATATATTTCTGTTTTATTCATAAATATTTTTATTCGTTCTGCTGAATGAACAATTTGAGATTGAGATTTCAATACTATTTTCAATAATTTTGACAACATTAAAAAGAGAGTATAATTAAATTATGGAAGAAATCACAGAACCAATGTGTAATAAAATCTTTTAAAAGCAAAATATAGGTTAATATAAGCGGATTTACATTCTCCGAATTCACATATTAGGTTTTATTAAAAAGGAAACCGAGCTTTTGCAGATGTATTTACATATAATTATTAACGCTCTTTTTCGTTCCAAAAACAAGTAACCTTTTAAACTCGAAAACATCGATTTAAAATAATACCTAATATAAATTAATAACAATTATAATTGTGTGATTAGATAATTAAAGTAACAAATTTAAACGTTACTCTTAACTTCAAAACTTAATGTTTTATTGAAGAGCTTTAGGTGTCTGCAACCCTATCTCCCGTATGTTATTTAATATTATTTCACCATGTTAAATTCTATGTTATTAGTTCAAAAATTCAAAAGTAACTCTGTCTGTATATGTGTTTAATTGATTAAATTTCACTCCTAATCCACTAAAGCGATATTTATGTAGGTACAAGTAATACGGTAATACTAATAATACTAATAGTAATACTAATACGGTACAAGCATAGAGTTGACCTTGGTAACAGACTTGTTAATTTTTCTCGTGTAAAAAGAGGTTTAAATATTGGATGTAGTTCGTCATAACACGTGAGGGGTACCGCAAAAAGCTTACAAATTTACGCGATACAATTAGTAGAGTTTATAAAGCCGTTTGGGGCAAATTATGTTATTACAGTAACTAAAGGAAATTACTTTTTGGTATTATGTGCTTAAGACTAAGAGTTTGGTAAGGATACGAGCCCATAACGTCTGTTTAATACAGCAGTTTAGACACTTTCCGGTGTTTTACATTTTGGATGAAGTATTTTTTTTTTAATTCAGAAGACCAACAGCTAGTACATATGAATAGAGAATAAATAAACAATTGAAAGCTCTGAAGGCAGTTAAAGGTCTTCGCATGTGGTTTAAAGCTTCTGTTAAGCTTCCAAGATGGATCATCTTGATTATTTCACATACGAATAAAGTCGTTGTGTTCTTGTTTAAGATAAGTTTATATTAAAAATATTTTTTAAGTCATTTACTCACTTAAACCTTATGGTATTCGAAACATACCCATTTTGTATTAGGGTTGCTATTTTTCAAAATGAAAAAGACTGACAGTTATTTTAGGCCGCACATAGCCAAATATAGCACTAATACTAAGGTGGTGTAATAAGTTTTTAGTTTTAATTACTAATTTAACATTTTAGTATCCACCACCACCACCAGCCCTTTTACGTCCCCACTGCAGGGGCTCAGGCCTTCCTTACGGATGGTTAAGGAGGATGGGCCATGACCCTCCACGCTGGCCCAATGCGGATTGGAGGGTATTGACGACTGCAAATGCAGCCGGGACCAACGGCTTAACGCGCCTTCCGAAGCACGGAGTAGCTCGAGATAATAATTTTTTGGTCGACCATCCTGTGACCGACCCTTGCGAAAGTTGCTTAACGACTACGATCGCGGGCCGCGGCGCTTATCCACTACGCCATCGAGCTACATTTTAGTATATCAAAGTAATAGTAGTAATAATAGTTATTTCAATTTAGTTTTAGTGACAGATGGCAACCCGAAATTTATTTTTTATATCATCCAATATTTTGAAATCAAAAGCTAAGAGATTATTTTCCCGTGAACAAAACAGAGAGAGACTTAGTTTTAGTAGATATTTACGTTGCGAACTCTTAATGGAATTACCCAGTAACCTTTTAACGTAACATAATTAGTGTAGAAGTTGTACGGAGTCTACAGTCAAACAGATGGCGCTGGTGGCGTGCTGGGACCCTAATGAAGCACTAAGTATTGAATTTGACTGTAGGCTAACACTAAAGTAGTCAAATAGTTTTGTGTTTGCTTTAAAAACAGATAAGTCTAGTAATAGACCAAAAACAAGTTATTATTACGGAGTGCTCTGTACAAATGTTACATTTTAAAACCAGAGAATTGTTTATGTTTCCTGGGTAGGTAAAGAAAAAACTATTTGTAAAATATTATTACATATTTTAATACTACGTTAGATTTGATATCCCACATTATGTAGTGTGCAATTTTTTTTTGTATTAAAACAGTTAATTATTATATTTGATCAATTTTGCATTCACAATGGTATACTGAAAAATATTCTTGACGAAAAATGTTTAAAAATCCACTTTGTCCGTAGTACTCTGTGATGGACAGTTCACAATCCCGGCGAACGCACTAAATACTGAGTTGCGAAGGACCTAACAGAACTGACGAATTCTTTAAGCACTTGTTACTTTTTCGCTACCTATAATAGCGTATTTTCATGCCTGGGACAAAGCGAATTATTTATTAAATTTTCATTAAAACAGATAAATTTCAAAATTAACCCCCAAAAAGCCGCCCTCATTATGGAGTAAGTTAGAACATGCATTGAATTGTATAAGTAAGTATGGTACATAGGTACATGTATGTCTTCGCATTGCCAAATTACGTAATATCTTTTAATTTCAAATATCGAGGATCAAATTAACAACGACAGAAGGTTCAGAAGTGGCTTCTAAAAGAAACATGAGAGCTATTTTCTGTGTTCTATGTATGAGCGGGTGATACTATTGAGGTATAGAACTTAAACGAAGTGGTTTCTTACATTAAATCTAGGTCTAATAATGAATTCAGTTTGAAAAAAAAATACCCTTATCTGATTAAAAACAAATAGATAACTATTAGTTTTACGTCACACAAATTGCTAGTAAAAACGTGTCACAGCGTCGGTATTAGCGCACTAAATCCAGACTAATCTCGACCTCCGTCAGCTGCCGGTGAACTGCTGAGAACGCCACTGAACGCCGCTGAATAACCCTTGTCATCTTCACACGCTCTCTCTGCTGGATTCCATGATTGACAGCACCGAACTCGCCTGGATCGGTTTAAAAATGATTTACACAGTGGGTGCCTGGTTATAAAGACAATTCGGCGTTTAAATTGATAGGAAACAAAGAGGATACAGTATGAAACTAAAACAGTGCACTGAATGCTACTTTATGGACAAATATGATATTATTACACAACAATATTTAGTAAATTATTAGGTATTAGAAATATTCTTATCTTATTATTATATTTTTATTATATTTTTAGACCCCAAAGAAAGACTCCAGTTTTTGTGTTTCTATTTTATTTAAGATAAAAATTGTTTTCAAAATTTCTCTCTTGTCTGTTGTTTCTCTTTTTTTTTAATTATTTTTTACTTTCTTCTGTCAACTAGTATATAGAAAGAAAGTTATACAGATGCTCTTTTGCATTTGTATGTTATTTTAGATTTGTCACGAAGTCAATAAAATATAGAGATGAAATATTGATAACGTTAATATTAGAATCCAATTTAAAATTCCATT